ATGCGCCCGGCGGCAACAAAGTTAAAAAACATATTTTTAGCATATAGGTCACAGTCAACGTCACACAGTCATTGGTCATTTTCATTTGAAAGAACTTGATAAGTGAAGTAATCATACCAAATATGAAGTCTCTATCTCTCATCGTTCAAAAGTTATGGTGAAGGTTCCAAAAAAAGCTATTTTTAGCATATAGGACACAGTCAACGTCACAAGGCCATTGTCCTTGGTATCATGTGAAAAGGCTTAATTAGTGGAGTACGCAGGCCAAATATTAAGTCTCTATCTTTCTTCGTTCAAAAGTTATGGGGAAGGTTAAAGTTTGCCGTCAAAAAAGCTATATTTAGCGTATAGGTCACAGTCAAGGTCACAAGGTCATTGACCATTGGTGTCATTTTAAAGAACTTTATCAGTGGTGTATGTATACCAAATATGAAGTCTCCATCTTTTCTGGTTCAAAAGTTATGACAAAGGTTAAAGTTTGCAGAAAAAAACTATTTTTTAGCATATAGGTCACAGTCAAGGTCACAAGGTCATTTACCTTGGTGTCATTTGAAAGAGTTTAATTTAGTGGAGTATGCATATCAAATATGAAGTCTCTTTCATTCATGGTTCAAAAGTTATGAGGAAGGTTAAATTTTGCAGACAAACAGACAAACAGACAGGACAAAAACAATACACGCCTCGGATCTTTCGATGCGGGCGCATAAAAAACTTAAACCTTGACCATAACTTTTTAACGGTAAGGACCAGGGCTTTCATATTTCACATGTGTATTCCTTGTGACAAGACATTTCTTTGGGTACCACCAAATTTGACCTTTTGACCTTGACCTTGGAGTTTTAGCTACGTTTTTTAAAAACTGTAACCTTGTTCCCAACTTTTGAACGGTAGATACTAGGACTTTCGTATGTCACATATGTATTCTTTGTGGCAACAACTTTGACCTTTTGACCTTGGAGATTTCCGTACTTATGAAAAAACTTTAACCTTGACCATAACTTTTGAATGGTAAGGGCTAGGGCTTATATACTTCACATATGTAATCCTTGTGAGAAGACCTTTCATTGGATACCAAGAACTTTAACCCTTTGATCTTGACTTTGGAGTTGACCTACTTTTAAAAAAAACTTTAACCTTGGCCATAACTTTTGAACGGTTAGGGTTAGGGCTTTCATCCTTCACATATGTATTACTTGTGATAAGACCTTTCTTAAGAAACCAACAACTCAGACCCTTTCACCTTGGAGTTTGACCTACCTTTCAAAAATTTATCCTCGACTATAACTTTTGAACATGTGCTAGGGATTTTGTATTTCACAATCGTATTTCTTGTGAGAAAAACCCTACTTTGGGTAATAATATATTCCATTTGCATTTAAGAAAAGTTTAATCTTCGTTATGTTACCATACTTGGTCATCAGTGTTTCACAAACACATCTTGTTCCTTATATGGAGAAGAGATAGGGCTTTCATATTCGACATGTGCATTACCTGTGAGAAGATAATTCCGAGCATGCTATGATTTCTTACCCCATTGACGTTGACCTTCACGATTGACTTTATTTTTTTTTTTTAAATCAACTTCAATGATAATTTCTAAATAAATGACATGTGATAGGGTGTTCATATTAGACACAAGATGTCATAAAAAATAACATCTCACCCACAAAGACACCGAAAGCGGCAGACCACAAATCTTTGAATTTGCTTCTTCCTCTTATCACGTGAACAAATATGTTGAAACTTTCTGGAAAAAAGATTTTCCCATCTCCCTACCGACCCAATAGTTTACCCCGAGTCGGGAGAGGGCAAGCAAACAATTTATTTTAAAGATGGCTGGTCACTTCTTTGGAAAATGGAGCCCAGATCCAGTAGTCGAAGCAAGTCCGGTAGTGTCCGTATTCTTAAATGCATCATCCATGCAAGTTTGGTCCAGTTTGAGCTTATAACTAGTTACTTATGAATGGATCTGCTCTAAAAACTTTAAATAAATTGGTAAATCGTCTGGAAAATATAGGTCAGATATCCAGCATCCGAAGCAATTTTGGTAGTGTTATATTTGCACCATCTGTGCAAAATGGTTACAGGTAAAGTTTATTATATCCCCAGATGTACCCATCTATTTTCCGCAACTCTGTGCCATTGTGCACCTCCTACCGTGGTATTTTACTTTTTGAGCAAAATATGGACACTTCCATTTTTTCGCCCCGGTAAACGAAGTTTCGGGGGTATATAGTTTTTGCCCTGTCCGCCCGTCTGTCTGTCTATTTGTCCGCAAAAACTGAAACCTTGCCGATAACTGTTGACTGGATGGGACTATGGCTTTCATATTTCACAGGTGTATTCCTTGTTAGTTGTTACAAGACCTTTCTTTGGGTACCACCAAATTTGACCTCTTGACCTTGACCTTAGAGTTTGACACACTTTTACACCAAAATTCCAAACTTTTACTTTGGTCACAACTTTTGAACGATTGATGCTAGAACTTTCATACTTCATATATATATTCTTTTTGAAAAGACCTTCCATTGGATACCTTTTGACCTTGACTTTTGAGATTGACCTAATTTTAAAAAACTATAAGCTTGTTGGCCATAACTTTTGAACGTATGATGCTAGGACTTTCATTTTTCACATATGTATTCTTTGTGACAAGACCTTCCACTGGATACCAACAACTTTGACCTGAATTTGTCCTTGACCCTGGAGATTGACATACTTTTAAAAAACTTTGCAATAATAACTTTTGAACTGTTGATGCTAGGACTTTCATACTTCTCATATGTTCCTTGTTCCTTGTGACAAGACCTTTCACTGGATACCAACAACTTTGACCTATTGACCTTGACCCTGGAGATTGACTTACTTTTAAAAATCTTCAACCTTGGCCTTAAATTTTGAACGGTAAGGGCGGGGGCTTTCATATTTCACATTTGTAATTCTTGTGACAAGACCTTTCATTGGATACCAACAACTTTGACCCTTTGTCCTTGACCTTGGAGATTGATCTACAAATAAAAACGTGATCCTTAGCCATAACTTTTGAATAGGTGGTACAAGGGTTTTATTTTTCATATTTTATTTCTTTTGAGAAGGCCTTATTTAGGGTATCAACATGTTTGATTTGCATTTGAGAAAATTTAACCATCGCTATGATGCTACACGGGGGCAACAGTGTTTTACAAACATATCTTGTTTCTATAATGTTGAAGGGCATCCATCTCTTACCCGCAAATCGTCCTATACCACGTACTGAATAAAATATAACGATACTTTCACAGATTCTCTATTACATAATACCATTGTGCACCTCCTATTTTTTTTATCCGCGAAAGCGAGGGGACATTCGTCTGTAAGTCTGTCCGTCCGTCTGTCACAAAAACTTTACATAATTTCTGAATGAGAAGAGATCGGGTTTTCATATCTTACATGAATATTACCTGTGATAAGACCTTTCCAAATACGCCATGATTTTTACCCTAGACCTTACAAGATTTACCTACTTTAAAAAAAATTAGCATTACATTAAATTGGTCAGAACTTTTGAAAGAGAACAGATAGGGCTTTCATATTACAGGTGCATAATATCTGACACTTATTTCGGGTCTCCCAGAACAAACATGGACTTTGTCATTACACATTACAATCATTTGGGAGGCAGGGTATCAATAGTGAGCTGAATGCTCACCAATTTAATTTCATGGGAATGGACCTGAGTGACCAGCCGTTCTTGCGTATGTATAGAACGCAAACCGCACGAGACAAATAACTTTGTAACATACGTATGGATGTGGCAAATTATGCCCTGAATCTTCGATTACAGGAACATAAAAAGTTAAAAACTGTTTAGTCCTAATAGAAATGCATGTACAATGTAATGTGACGTCACATTCTAGACCTTCCAAATGTCTCATGCGGTTTGCGTTCTATACGCAAGAAAGTGTGGATTCCAACAGCAAAACATGGGTACTACCATTCTTTCTATAATATTGAAGGGTAACCATCTCTTATATCCACAACTTCTTCTATAACACTGAATGAAGTTAAATATAATACTTTCACAGATTCTTTACAGCATAATGTCATTTTGCATCTAAGTCTCCTAATTTACTTTTTGATCCGACACTTATTTTGGGTCTTTCACAGCAATACATGGACTTTGCCATTATAATCATATGGGAGGCTGGACATCATTTAGTGAACAGATTAATACAGATTGTTCAGTATAAAGTGTAAAATTTACAGAATAAAGTGTCAAATTTACAGATTAAAGTGTAAATTTTACAGATTAAAGTGTAAAATTTACAGATTAATGTGTAAATCTTACAGATTAAAGTGTAGAAATTAAAAAAAAGTCTCCAAGTGGCATCAATATAGATTGTTCAGAATAAAGTGTAAAATTTACAGATTAAAGTGTAAAATTTAGATTAAAGTGTTGAAATTAAAATAAAAGTGTCCAAGTGGCACTAACATGCTTCTGTAGGTTTGCCTTAAGAAACTTTTAACTTTTTGCCATAAGCTATAATACATGGGCATCAGTTTTCACACACATCATATTTAAAGCAATTCTTACTAGTTCCAAGACTGAGAAACCAACAAAAGCTGTGAAGTATAATGCCAATCTCAGATTGTGCAATACTGTTGGGCTAGAGAGATTCTGGAGTTCCAGGGTTGTGCAATATCCCCCAATTCACTGTATACTGACAGCAATTTTTTCTATTTCCACTACGAATTGAAAATACTGTGGTTTCATCAATATTCGTCGAGCACCAATTTTCGAGGATTTTGTTGTGGAGCAGATCTACGAATTTAATAAATGTTCATTCCTTGCTTTTTTCCACGAAATTACGTATCCTCGAAAACGTCTGTATTACAAAATACACAAAAATTGATGCCAATGAAAATTGATGAAACCACAGTAGTGTGTCCCAAAAACTTACTTATCTGCAAAGCTCAAAATTCTGAGAAAATTTCTTTAATTGCTATATTGTAATTTTATTTTCAAAAATATTTTCACAACAAATACATTTATCAAAAGTGTTTCTTAATTAAACATGATATTAAAAATATAACTATTTTAAATCAATATAAACATATGAAAATCAGCAGTTATGTTGGGTTTACTGTACATTGCTACTTAGGTATTCAGTAATTTCATTTTTAATTACTATTATTTTCCAATTATTTGGCATTCAATATTTAAATAAATTATCAGTATTGAAAATGCAAACTACAAAACAAGATATTTTTGTCACACTGGTATATGTATATACATTAGATTTAGATTAGATTTGTCCTAAAACATATTTTGCAAATGTTATATTGCATCTAGATGCATGGCATCAACTGTATAAAGTAAAATCTTCTTTCAAAGCACTTTACTGAAATTTTACCCATGTGTATCAGGTTTTAAAGAAACAATGTTATTGTATTAGTTGCTGCTGTGTCGTAGCTTGGTGTTTTTCTTTGCTGTGGATGACTTTAATTTCTCTTGAGCCTTTCTGGATACAGTCTTTGATTGTCCAGAATATTTCTGAACATCATTCCTAAAAAAAAAAAATTTTAACTTCAAAATAAATACATTCCTTGTCAAATACTTTTACTCAAAATATTATTAATCAGTAAATGTATATTGAGAACAGAAGGTAAACAGTGAATTTTTTATCAATCATTTGGACGAACCTGCTCATTTTAGACTTGTCTCTGCATCCTTTACCCCCTTCCCAGAATGCAGTGCGGACTTGAGTCATTGACTTTTTGCATGCCACACAGGCTTTATCCAATGCAAAAGGCTGTTCCTTACAACAGTGTCCACAGATCATTCTGGTGGCCAGCAGCATCTCATGGTCCCCTTCCTTCATCTCATGGCAGATGTCACATGGGTAACACTTACCACAGCAGGGGAACCTAAAAGAAGACAGGCCCATGTTAGTAAAGTCCAACTTAAACTATTGTCTTTATAAATGTTAAACACTTGTTAAATTTAAAGTTATATAATTCTGAAAATGAATCTACCTGAACCATCGAAAACTTTTCTTGTAATGTTTACATGTCCCATCCTCAGGCAGTGGGCGACCTAGTTGGATCTCTGGTTCTTTCAAATTTTTCTTTGGCTTTAAGACTGGAACTTTATGCAAACTCTTCTCATCTGAAAATAGAACCCAAATACATGTATTTCTATTCAGAAAAGCCTTTAAATACAATTGAACTTTTTATCTCTAACATTGAAATCTTGTCTATATTTGGATATGTCAATGTGAGTTGAGAGTCAAACACCTTTTCTTTCCTTATGTATTCTACTCTCAAAATATTGATTCCTCATACATCTAAAACTTTTGTTCCCATTCCATATAGTTCAAGACAATGAGGTTTTCCTGTATCTACAATAAATCATTAAAATGTAAAGTGATACCTGTTTCTGGCTCTGAAGGAAGAAGTTGGGCAAACTTGACCGACTCTGCTGACACTTTCATTTTTCCGTGACATGTAGAGCACCATGTCTCTGTAACTTGTCCAAAAGCCATACTCTGTTCATAAAAAAGTGAACATAATGAACAGGATATTGTAGACAGAACTAGAAGAGAGAATTTCTTTCAATTTGTTGTTTTCCTAAACATTTTTTCCTTCAATAAATTTAGAAAATAACCAACAAATATTATTTTCTTTCTATAAAATGTACCTTGGCTTTCATTTCTTTGTTGCAGCTGAAGCATCCTAGCTTAAACACACAGTCCTGAAGGATAACATCAAATGGAAGACATCCATCTAAATCCAGATAGCCAACTACAGACGAGAACTGATGCATGATTGCTGATCGAAAGGTCAAAACCTGAGGGTAGCTGCATTTTAAACAGGTCACCAAGTTAGGTCTCCCGGAGGGTGTGTTGACATCCATCTTGTTTTTGCAGCGAGCACACTGAATGATGATTTTTATATTACTACAGGTAAGTGTTGAAGCGTTGTCTTTCAGTGTCAGGTTCCTTAGCTTGATTTCTGTCCCCCGCCTTTCATCTTTCTCTGGTTTGTTGTCAGTAGTAATGGCAGACTCAATTAAATCCTCCTCCTCTTCTTCTGAAGATTCCACATCCTGTTGTGGTCCTGCAAAATACGACATTGAAATCATAAAGTATACAAACGGGCATTACTCAAAGAAATCTGAATGAATGGAATACAAAACCAATGAAACTATGACTACTCATCACCAATGTGCAACGAATATAAAGGGGAATTACTCAAAGAAACCTTTCTCATTTAGATTGAATGAAATATTCCAGTACATGAAACACGTCACTCTCACATACCTGTATACACTAAGTCCTCATCAGTCTTCCTGTAGGCCACTCCTTTAAACATCATGCTTTCATCCTCACCCTCCTCTTCCTCCTCCTCATTTTCCTCCTGATCCTCATCACTTCCTGCTGATTTTACTTTTTCTTGTAGTTTGGAGGCTGGAATAAACTGTAGTCCTGCTGCTCTGGCTTCCAGTTCCTTCTTTAACTGAAACAAAGAGATCTATTTTTTCAGAAAGATATTTCATGCTTTGAAACCTGGAATTTACTTTATCTTATCTTTTTACACCATACAGATCACAAAAATTGCGTTCTTTTGCAAAAGGAGGACTTCTATAATATTTTGAAGTTAGAAAAAGAGTATACATGTAAATTATTAGCAAACATTTTTACCATTACTAACCTGTTTTAGAGCACCTGTCACAATAGATTCCAGACTCCTGTCCAACCATTTCAGGAAAGGTCGAAATTCCAGTCTAACTACTCCAGCACTTATCAACTCTGCCTGTTTTGTATTTACCCAGTCTTCAAGAGAAGCTTCTATGTACCTACATAAAAGAGGTTAACAAACATTACTCTTTACATTCCCATTCAAAATAAGTCTTATATGAATACCAAAATACTTTGATTTGTTGGATTTCATCAAATAATTCAATGTTGAAACTTACCTTCGTACTGTTTCTGGTAAATTCTGCTCATCAGGTAGTCTAACAACAAACATCTGCAAAGAGAAAAGAAATTATTAGAGCAAAAGTTTAAAAAGTACATCTTAAATATGCTTTATATTGTAAGACCATAAAAGTCAGAAAATGTAAATGTAACATACCTCCAGAGGGTATTCATTTGGTATGGTGACTTGAAGAGTGAATACTTCCACATCATATGGCTATAATTAAATATAGAAAATAAAGACATTTATAAATTACATAAGAGCACAAGTTTATATGTAGGATATACAAAATCTCATCTAATAAGCAACCTCATTTACAAAGAATTTTAATCATAAACACTTGATAAATGCAATTACATGTCTTTAAAGAAAGAAATAAAAATCTCACCCAGTCTGGGTCACTAGATGAAAAGTCAAACTGAACACAGAAGTTGTCTTTACTGTCAGTAATGACTTCTACATTAGACGATGCAAGTCTCTTTTTCAGTTGTTCAATTTCTGTCAATCGGAGCTGTTCAACCTCATTTTCACTTAAGCTATCTCTCTTAAATTCCTTCACAGGCTGGACTGGTCTGGGTACCACTTTTCTCTGGCCAGCTGCTAATGGAACCTTTTTTGGCCCCTTTCTGCCATTGGTGTGGCCTGCTGATACTGCTTCATTACAACCATCCTTTTCTTTCTTTACTTGTTTCTTGTCCTCTGCTAAGATGGCATCTGAGATGTCTCCTTTACCGACTTCATCTGAATGATAAAATCTGCAATCATTTCCCTTCTGGCAATGGCCTGCTTGATAGTAGTGACAAGTTCGCTTTCTTTCTTGGGTCTGCTGATTCCCATTTCTCTTCCTAGAATCATTCCCATCAGATTTCAAAGTTCTGTCAGATTTTTGTGCCTTATTATGCGTTTTCTTTGGCAATGCATGAAGAAAACGACATTTGTTCCCATATCTGCAATTTCCATGTTTTTCAAAATTAAAACAGAGTTTTTGTGTTGTGTCCTTTTCCTTGTTTACTGCCTCATGATTCTGGTTGCTTACAGACAACTGAGAAACAGCAGTAGAAAGAAGGTCGGCTTCTAGCTGCTCGTTTACTGGCGCTCCATTTTCTTGATTATCTGATAATGATGGACTAGAAATGCTTGTTGGAGAAGGATGCAAAAATTTACAGTTCTCTTTGAATTTACAACCACTTTTCGTATTAAAATATTGACAAAGTGGTTTTGATCTATTTAGCATACTACGATAACCGACTTCAGATGAAGATTTTTGCTCGTAGAACAGGTTTGTTGTAAATTCCTTACCACGAATTGAGTCTTCTTCCAACAGTTTTATGGAAATCGATAAGTTTTTAGAATAAACTCCGCCTAACACCGTTGTTGGGACTTGAGAGTGTGCAAGCTCGACAGGTGAGCTTACACTCAGTGAAAAAAGAAAACTTGGTAAAGAAGGTTGTTCTGGAACGCTGGACGCCCAAAGGGCTTTTGGTCTACTGAATATCTGACGTCCTATTTATACTGCTATCAGAAAGCAGAATAAGGTCATAAAATATTGCACAATGTGGTGTATTGGCCGGAAGTGGTGAAACTTTGATGACAGGCGGTAAATCTAGGACAACGAAAGCCCGATTGTCCTGTATTGCGGATTTTTCCTCGGGCGGTTGTCTTAATATTGCTTGAAAATATATTAGGCACCAATTTAAATAATACATCTGACGTTTTCCAGGATTTTTTCTTTCTTTAAAGATATTTGTAAAAATGTATCATCACTTTTCTTCAGATACATGCATGTAACTTTCAGACAATATTTCAAAATTTTGCAAATTTTATAATAAAATGGTTGATTAATACCTAAGCAGCTGCTAAGAGCAGATTTCAAAGCATTTAATTTATTTTCAGACTATGTACTCCATCCCCCACCCCCGACCCGGGGGGGGGGGGGATAAAAAATAACCATTTTGCTAGATGCACCTTTCTTCATCATAAATATACATGTATATAATTGGATCATAATTGGCATAAAACCCAGGAGCAAAGGAAAAGATTTTCAAAGAATTAATGTATTTTCACTACATAATCAATAGAGTCCCGTCCTAACACCAGAACCCATGACCCTGGGTCCCCATAAAGTTCAAAATTTTGAAAGAGGCACTCTTGCTCAACATAACTATGTTCTTACATAGTTTATTTTTACCTAGGAGCAGAGAAGAAGATTTTCAAAGAATTAATGCATTTTCACTATATAATCAATAGGGCCCCACCCTAACACCAGAACCCCTGACCCTGGGGCCACAAAATTCACAATTTTGGAAGAGGCACTCTTGCTCATCATAATTATGTGCTTGGTTACTTTATTTAATACCCAGGAGCAGAGAAGATTTTCAAAGAAATCATGCATTTTCACTATATAGTAGAGTATAGCCCCGCCCCTGACCCCAGGGCCATGAATTTCACAATTTTGGTAGTGGACTCAATGCTCATTACATTCATGTCAACAGTTTGCCAGCTTGATGTCCAGGAGTAAAGAAGAAGATTTTTCAAGATTGCAATAATTTTAGTGGCTTTGGCCCCACCCCTCAGGGGTGGGGATCATAAGATTCACTATTTTTGTTCCCCTTCACCCATAGATGCTGTATCACCAAATTTGGTTGAAATTGGTTCAGTGGTTTCAGAGAAGCTGAAAATGTTCAAATGTTAACACACAATGCACAACACACGACGACGGATGAAAACGGATAGCAATTAATAGGTCACCTGAGTTACTCAGGTGATCTAAAAATACAGAAAGTCTCAAATATCACCTCAAGCTCTTTTTTTGGTGGCAGCTAGTGGGCATTTTTTCTGCAAGCCAATTGTTTTTTTTTTTTTTTGTTCATATTTTCAATTCAAATATTTTAAAATGTACATTGATTTTTTTTTTTAATTCTCTCTGTAAGAACTAAACATGTCCCTGTCCCTTCAGGATTTTGAAGCATTAGAAGCACAGCCCTTGAAATTGCTTTAATATGACTTACACTTAGGAAACTGTAACACACTTTTGCCAATAATATATTTTAAAATCAAATACAGTAATCTAAAATTTTAACTTTCTGTTCAGATAGAACAATATGGCTCTGTAGCTGTTGAAACAAATAATAAAATTTTTTTGGTGAATGAAATTAATCTTACAATCTAGAGTAAAAAGATAACTTTATAGTGCTGAAAGATTGTGCAAATGCTATGCAGCTTTTCCCTGCAGTTCAAACACCATCACCATACATGTGAATGACCAGGGGTCCAATCTAATGTAGAGTAAAAAATATAGGTCAATTTTGGAATTGATTAATAAAGTCACAATAAATATATGCAACTCAAATTTTATTAGCAAAACATTTGTAGACTAGTAAACAAGCATGAAATAAAATCAGTGTTCAGATTTTTTGTGTTTATGCTTGTGTTTGTGCTTGTGTTTATGTTTATCCCTGCTTTGCTCTCTGCTTCTATGCTCCCTGCTTCTGCTTCTATACTCTGGTATTTTCTTTGTGTTTCTTTCCCTGTCCATATCATGCTTTGTGTCCCTTTCTCTGTGTCGACTTCTTTCACGACTTCTGCTCCTGTGTTTACTTCTGTGATAAGAAGTATCTAAGCTTCTCTTTTGATGGACATCAGAATTCTCATTTTGTCTTCCGTCTATCTTCTCTGTGATAGTGTCCTTTAAGTCCTGTGTGAGCTCTGTTGATTTATCTCTTTCTGTTGCCTGTTGGTCACCTTGTTGGTCTTGTTTTAATATCTCAGTGAGATATTCTGTTTGATTTTCAATTACTTCCTTGATGATCTAAATACCAAAAAACATGAAGAGGAAGTTTAATACCAAAACAATGTAAAAAAGAACAACTGTTTTAATAACTTCAACATGGTAAGATTGAGAAGTTGTCTTACTATAACTCTAGTTTGAACATAACATGTACCTCTGTATAAGATTTCCTTGTGATGTGTACATTCTTTGCTCTGTAAGACTGTCTCCTTCTCTTGTAGTCTCTCATGGCCTTCAGATACTCAGTGTAACTTGTAGGCTTACTATTCTGTCCCTCTGTAAACACATAAAATTTCAAGATAGTGTTAAAGGCACATCAACAGATTTCTTTTCTCAATAAAATCTTTAAAAGCAATCTTTATTTACTAAAGCTTGCATCATAATTTGAAGAGGATATACTTAGCATTTCAACAGAATTTTTCCCATTACCTAAAGCTTTCTTTTTAACAATTTCTTGAAAATCTGCAGTGAGCAGAGTATCTGTTTCCAGTCCTTGAATATTTCGTTGTTCTTTGGCTTTATTTATTATATAACTATGAAGAGCACCACGTTCACTTGGCGTAAGCAAACTGGTTTCCTCTTCTGTTGTCAAAGGGACTTCACTCTTGCCATAAAAAACTGCACATGAAAAAAATACTGATATAGGTATGTTTCCTTACATGGTCCAGTTTATACCATGAGTATTTCTGTAAAATACACAGAATCTATTCTCACAGTATAAATTCTTTAAGAAAATAATGCATATATTATTAGGTATTGTAATTACAATCCCGCTCTGTTCTTGTAAGTTATTTATACAGAGATTATCATCAAAGATAGCAAGCAATTTCTTACTTGAGTGGTTTTCCACATGATGCTCCCACAGCACTTTGTTTAATGTCTCCTTGTCTACAAATCATTACATTATATTTTTTTTTTCAATTTATAGCAGTATCAAAATAGGAGAGAATTCTTTGGAGAACTGGCATGGAAACCAAACATTTCAATTGTTTAACAATTTAATGCTAGATGATATATTGATGCATACCAATAGGAACATTGCAGACACTGTTTATATTCCTGTAGAAAAACTGTGATGTTTTCTTGGATTCATCCTAAAAATATTTTACACAAGATATAAAAGAAATCAATTATTTCAAATCAAACACACCATCTCAAGTAATATACAGATTTCTTTTATTTTCACCTGGTAGTAAATCCCCAGTAATCAAAGATTCATAGTGTAAATAGTTTTTTGTTCATCTGTGTGTCTGTCTGTCCACAAAACTTTAACAATGGACATAACTTTTGATTGGCTGAAGCTATGGCTGTCATCTTATTTGTATTTCTTGTGACATGCCTTTTTTTTGGGGGGGGAGGGGGGGGACAACAGTATTTGAACTCTTGAACTTGACCTGACATTTGACCCAATTTTGCTATAATTAATTCAACTTTAACCTTAGTCATAACTTTTGAACAATTGGTGCTGGGGCTTTCAAACTTTATGTGTGTACATGTATTTATTGTAATAAGATCTTTCTATGGATATAATTATTTTTTACCTTTTTTTGCCACTTTTAAAAACTTTTACATTGGACTATAACTTTTTTGGACAGTTAGTATCAGGACCTTCATATTTCACAGGTGTATTCTTTCATTGAATAAAACAATTTTAACCTTGACTTTGGAGTTTGACTACTGAGGAAAAATATCAACTTTGACCATAGCTTTTGAACAACTGGTGCTAGCTAGGGCTTTAATATTTCACTCGTGTATTTCTTATGGTAAGGCCTTTCCTTCAGTACCTTTAACTTGCCCCTTTGACCCTAACCTTGCTCATGTTTAGCCCACAATCTTGGCCATGGCTTTTTAATAGTCCGTGCTTGGGTTTTCATATTTTACAAGTAAAATCATTGATAACAGGTCTTTTCTTTGGGTTAATGGGTAACAACATTTTTCATCCCTTGATCTTGAAGTTTGACTTGCATTTGAGAAATTTCAACCTTTGCCAAAAGCTGTCATGCTTGTCATATGGGGACATCAGAGTTTTACAAACACATCTTGCTTAAACATGTTTCTCTTACTTTATTCCTAATGGAATGGTTTACCTAACAATTGTCATTCACAAAGTAACCTGATCACCAATCTACCTGGTAATTAAATTGCCCAATCACAAATGTATTAGTCACTTCTCACTAAAATAATACAAAAAATTTACATTATCATGTTGCAGTTTAACTCTTTACAACTTACAGAATTGTTAAGCAACATCACTAAAAAGCACTTTCTAAGGGTACAAAAAAATAATATCATAACGTAATATTTTAATTAGAAAATAAATTTTCTTATTTTATTAGATTTGAGCAAGTATAAAATAGTTGGAATTTGGCAATAAATTGAAGATTTATTGAACTTTTTAAAGTGCGTGAAAATGCGTGATTGCGGGGAAACGGTAAATGCGTGATTTTGCGTTTATAGATATAGGAAATGGTATATGCGTTAAAATGCGTGACTGCGGGGAAGGGGGTTAACAAGACTAACAAGTATATATGCAATAGTTACCCGAGCCTCTGTTTTTGGGACCCCTCTAGAGGTAAACCTACATATTGGCTCATGTTTCTTCAATTCCTCCTTACTCATTATATGTCCTGGATCAAAGCAGCATACTCCCATCTCCTTTTGCTTAATTGAAGTATTAAATAATGATGATAAAATAATACTTATAGTGATCAAGATTATAAAATTGAATAATTAAAAGAATTATATTAAAATAATACATGTAGTGATCAAGATTATAAAATTGATTTCAGAATAACTACATTAAATTCTTTTGTTTCTAAAACAAAATATAGACATGAGAATGTATTGACTTTTCAAACTGGTTAAAGAATAAGATCTGGGGATAAATTACGCACATTTAAAGTAATACATTTACCTGTATAATACATGTACCTGTATAAAATGGGAAGGTGACCAGTCCATTTGTTGCAGGATATTGCTGAAGGTGTTCTGGCATGTCTGTAAGAATGTCTTAGTCTCCTCTATAAACTCTTGTCTCTCTCTCTTCTTCTCCTCCATATCTATCAGATCTACAACATATACATGTACATAAAGAAAGATTAACCATACAACATGATACCAAATAGGATGTGGTGAAAGAATAGAATTTATTTACTGGTATTTATTATTCAAAACAAAAACTAACTTAAAACATATTTTGAATACTGTAATGTAAAAATAAATATGTTACATTGAAACAAAAAATTCTAGACTTATACATTATTGTTAGTTTGGGCAAAAAGTACTAATTATTCCATGTGACGTAAGATTTTCAATTAAAAAGTTTTACAGCTGAGGAATACCTGTGGATTAATAAAAATGTACATTTTCTTACTTTAAAAAAAACATATCAATAGATTGATAGAATATAACTTTGTTTCAAAAGACAAATAGATCTACATGAATCAGATAGACCAAAAAAACTTGAGTATTGGGTATCCCTAGCACAGTATCACAGGTACTTGCACGTGGACAGAACCCGGCCTTATGTTTCACACAAAAATACCCCCTTTAATAAGAAATTATATTTTTTGACAGAGAAAGGTATGCCAAAGCCCGAAGGGCTTCTGGGTTTTAAAAAAAAAAACTTGATACCTTATTACTTATATTTACATTTGTGACTTATTCATACTTTATATTTTTTTTACTTTTAACGTGTGAAATGCGTTTATTTTTCAAACCCAACGGCATGTATGTAATCCACTATACGCGCGTCGACCTTTATGACGTCACAGAAAATTGAAACGTTAATTTCTGCACATCTATGACCTCTAATACCCCATACCTGTATTTACACAGTTATAAAAACGCTTGCCTTCAGTAGTGTTATATAAAGGAAAACATTTGCAAATGTAAATATTACATTATAACAGAGAAAGGTATGCCAGTCTGGGTTTTTAAAAAAATTTGTACCCCAGCTGGTGTTTTGGGGGTTTAAAAACCTAGTGTTTTTTATGTCAACCTGAAATGCTGGTTTATATTACTATTAGTGAGGCATTTTTCGTGTGAAAATTGAAACGATAATTTCTGAATTATTTCTAATACCTGAAACACAGGGGCTTGTGTAGAGAAAATAAATCGGTTAAAAAAATTAGTACCTCGGAGATAAAGTGTTTTTTTCTCCGAGGTACAATTTTTTATAAACTGATTTATTTTCTCTACACAAGCCCCTGTGAGCTATCAGCTTTATCTGTCCGAATTTTCTCAAGCAGAGATAATACTAGTAATACTAGTAATACTAGGGGTTCCTAGCTCAAAAATTCAGCAATATTGATTACCTTGTATAATTATCTCTGAGCTAAAATTTTGTTGTTAACAACCGATGCACTCAAGAGAAACTCTTGATCTCTTCATCAGGCAACACGATTAATTTCCATCGGGTTTGGACAAGGAGAGGGTAAAATTCGGACCAACATCGTTCAATCCCGAAATTGAAATTGTTGTACACTGTAAGATAAGAAGGAAAAATGTTTTAGTATGTTTATCAAGTAAATTTTATCATTATTTATTTTTATTATTTAATTACTATGATACGCAGCAACACACGGCAATTCATTATAGAACTCTTTATATTTCATTACATTTTTTAATCTTTGACGTCACAATAAGACAATAAAAGACGTCACAATAAGCCCAAGCTAGAGAACAGAAACAATGAAATTTTTTAAGTCTTTAAGGATTTTTAGCTATTCGGCATCTAAACTTGCGATAATGCCTGCTTTACTTCATCCTATGTATGAGTTTCTGAACTGGTAGGTGCATTTCATGACAGTTATTTACAGTATCTCGTATTGTTTATATTTTTGATAGCAGAAAATCTCTATGTAATAATTTAAAGAATTTCCTTACAAAAGGTTACAAGTAACTTGTTTTGCATGTCTTCCGCTGTTAAAATATCTTCAGATCATAATTATATTTTTTTTAGCAATGAACCAGAAGTATCCCTTTGGGATGTTGTAACACTCTCAGATTTTGCGGGTTGTGATAGGGATACAAACTGTTCAAATCCGTTCGACATCAGGATTATCATAGTGAGTAATATTTATAACACACTTTTTGCCTCACGATGAACCCTCTACTTTAAAATCCAGATATACACACTCACGTGACCTTTAAATTTGCTTTTCAATCATATTTACGAAAGCCTATTAGGATCAATCTAAAGAGAAAAAAATTTATAAGGTGTTATAACGCGAAAAAACGCCTTTTTCGCGTTATTACGCCTTTTCGAAAGGCGTTATAACGCCCTTTAAAAAAATTTTCTCCATAGATTGATCCTATTATATATAGGCTTTTGTACTAATAGCTAGGCTTTCGTATATATTTAAATATACATGTTATTACAAAGCATTAATTAACACTTATTACGGATCCTTCAGAACAAAACATAAACTTTGCCATTATAATCATATGGGAGCGGGGGTATCATTTAGTGAACTCAGAGCTCACAGTACCTCTAGTTTTACTTTATGATTAAAATTCTCCTCCACATATTTTGGATTTCCCACTGCCATTGTTTATATAATATTGGAGGCTACCCATCTTTTTATCCGCATATATCTCATCCTATACCACTGAATAAAGTTTAATGATACTTTCACAGATTCCTTCTTACATAATGCAGTTGTGCATATTTTACTCTTGATCTGCAGGGGCGTAGCAACAGGGGGGCAGTATACAGTATACTGAAGTACTCATAGTATAGGAAATGTTAATTGAAAGTCTAGTTGGCCCCCCACTATTAGTGATGTACGAGAATTGTAGTATGAAAAATTGTTACTAAAAGTAATTGACATTGAGAAAAGTTAGCCTCTACCCTCCCCCCACCCCACCCCAATAGGATTTTCGACTTTGGGCAACTTTTCCCTTTTTTTTTTTTTGATTGTCAACTTTTTCAGTTAAGTAAAAAAACGTAAAAAAAAAAATTCTCTGGCTGCCCCTCCTTTCAGAAACGATGCTACGCGCCTGATCTGACACTTAATCCGGGTCTCACAGAAAACACGAACTTTGTCATTATAATCATAGGAAGGTAGGGGTATCAATCTAATGACCCCGGTGCTCACAGTACCCCCAGTTTTACAACGCATCAAATCCATCAATGCATGCAACTGCTACTACATGTATTACATGAAAATGTTAGATAGTCGCACCATTCGACGATTAACTGGTTTTCGTTGTTAATTAATATACAGTTAAAGAATATCATTGAGGGAGTTAGCAAGATTCCAGTTCCCCAGGACCAGGACTATTTCCTGTGGCGCAGCCGATTGAGGGAAATAGAACAGGTCGAGGGGAACTTTTCACATTTAACTACCTAATTTTTATATAACAAAAAAAATCAATAGAGGTATATGTATAATAATACAAATTATTACGGAAATCTCCTTTATATAATTCGCAATTCTACCTTTTTTCAATAAACCCTAGGGACTGGTGTCGCTTGTATTAATGGAGCTGGTCTATCTTTGGCTGATGTATATTGAATTCAGAAAAACTCCGACCGTCAAGGTATTTATAAATTGTACATTCCATTTAGTTTTTAAAACCTTCTTCTCATAACTTAAATGAGAAATTAATTAACCTAGATAAGTATTTTATAGAATATGTAAAATTTTGTTTAAAGGGACGAAGCTTAAATGACTCGGAGATACATGTCAGCTGGGTTGAAAGTGACGTCAGTGCAAGTATAGGTCCAGACCTAGAAATCAACCTGTAAAGAAGTAAATATCAGGAAATCATACTGTAAATGGAGAATATTCTAAAAAAAACAACATGTAAACGGAGTGAATACTTAAAAATCAACCTGAAAAAGAAGTGATCGAATAGGAGTCCCAGCAGAAGATTACATTGATAAAATATTAAAATAGAATAAAATATGTTTTTATTAAAAATTGTAAAATGCGCAATCGTAGAACAAAATAAAACCAGTGTTTGAATCCTTCTAAAATGTGTTTATTTAATTTTATAAGCTAGAGAAAGTTTGGTTGGGGTTGGGGTTTGGGGGAGTTTGTTTGGCACCGTGCATAACCCCACATATGGGGGCGCGGAATGGTGACATACGGGGGTGCGGAATTCGAAGCGGAATTTGCAATGTACTTTGACTTGATTAGCTTTCCTACAGTGATTGAGATGAAAGTAATCCTAAATTCACTTACGGCGGAACACAGTGATATCACCATTCCGCGCCCCCATATGTGGAGTTATGCACGGTGTTTGGGGTGTGTTATGTTCTGTGCGAAACGGAAGTAATGTATATGTAATTTGCATCGCGGTCGACATCAAATGCTGCTAAAAGTGTAGCCTAATATTCATACTCTCTGATACTAAAACAGATTGATTGGTTGATTTTATATTGTTTAAAGTCCCTCTCGAGAATGTTTCACACATATGGAAACGCCACCACTTGCCGGTGGAGAGCTGCAAATTTTGTCCTATACTTGGCACTCAGGGCCACCGAGCAGGGAGGGATCTTTATCGTGCCAGCATCTATACTGCGACACGGGACCTTTGTTTATACAGGGGGTGGGTTGGGGGTGGTCCTGTCCCCAAGTAATCAAGAGAGCATTTTTTTTCACTTCAAGCATTCAAAATAAGTCTGAAAGTTTTCACCCTTAGCTCCACTATCTTTGCAAGTTTTATCATAGCAGACCATAATATTATATAGCTATTCTAAACACATAACCCTGGTCACTCATCTGAAAATAATAGATGAAAAGGTCAGATTCAAAATCCAAAGCAATTCTGGAAGTGTCCAATACAAAGATCTGATTTTAATCAAATTGGGAAGTACCCATCCCCTGGATACATCATCCGAACTTATATTTGGTTAAAATATGCATGGCTAAAATCACTCATCCGGACAATCTAGGTTAGATCATGAATCATATGGAGATAACGAACAGTATATACAAGATCAAAAGTCCATAAAACAATACAAAATAGGAGCATAGCAAACACGGATCTCCTACCCCATATAGGCGTCGGAAGCAAATTAAAAGTGAGGGGGTTAATTGAAAGGGGGGGCTAAACCAACAAAAGAAGGTAAACCCCAATTTTCAATGCCTATTTAATGTATATCTTTGCAGAAAAAATAGGGGGGGGGGGGCTAAGACCCCCTAGCCCACCGGTTCCGACGCCTTTGTAACCATCAGAGGTGGAATCAGGTACCAAGAAGGAGTGAGCATCCCCTACCCACCGATCACACCGCCGTGTGCTCCTTGTCATGATCGGGAAATAACGGAAAAATCCGTCGTCAATTCAGTGTATAAATAATGGACTAACAATCAGTGTGAAAAACGTCAGTCAACATTTGACTCAATGATAAACAAATTCCTTGTATCGACCATAGAACTTACGAAATGATTACTTTAAACGAGACTGTTGATATTCTTGTTTCATCAACTTATTTGTCAATAATTTACCTAGTTTTAGAAATTGATTCGAAACTTAGAGCATGCTCGTGTATCGAATCAACTGAGATACATAAACTCCGTAGCAGGTGCTGCGTCAGTAAGGGAAGTTGACGATAGAAAAGTTAAAGTCATCACGTTTTATAATAAAGCTTGGTTGTTAGATTACCATTAACGTCTTTTCAAGTAAAATATCCATATTTGAAACAGACCTGCTTTGACAGAGGACCTCGGTTTAAAGCATCTGAAACAAAAAGACCATCACTTCTCAATGGTTGTGTCAAGCACAGGTCTAAAATTGCAGCTCTCCACCACAAAGTGGTGGTAATAGTTTCCCGCTTTCACTGAAAGTGGGGGATATTAATTTCGGTCTGTCTGTATTTTTGTCTGTTAGTTACACTTCCGTTTCCGCAAAATATCTCGAGTAGTCTTAAGTTTGAGCTTTGGCAATAAAATTTTACGTAACTCCCCATCGACATAAAAGACAAAGGTTCAGATCATAAATTGTTTTAATACTTTCCTTTCCGTGAAATATCTCTAGATGCCTTTGAGCTTTCGCACTGAAAATGTATACCACAACTCCCTCTGATCTATGGAAGACCCTCATTGATTTGGGGGTCAAAGTCGAAAATTCATACATTCAGTAAGAGTGTTAATCTTTCCATTTGAGCGATATTTCAAAAAGATTTTGCAATGAAATCAGTTTATAACATATGGCCCTATGACACGATCCACTCCTCATCAGTCTACAGCTTCCCAGACTGCTCATTTACAGAAGGGTTGATTAGATTACTAGATGAATGGATTGATTAGATTACTAGATGAATAAATAAGATTTGGATGTAAGTTGTTATTCCCCCTTTAAAATCGAAGATTTGGGGGTACAAGTATATAAATTTTTTCCCTGTCTGTTTATCTGTTTGTCCACAAAAAATTTAACCTTGTCCTTAACTGCGTGGAGATGGCTTTCATATTTCACATGTTTACTCCCTGTTACACGACCTTCCTTTGGGGACCACAGAATTTCCAAACTTTTACTTTGGCGATAATTTTTGAACGGTTGGTGCTAGGACTTTCATACTTCACATATATATTATAAATGTGTAAAGATCTTTCATTGGATACCGTCCAACAACTCTGACCTTTTGGCCTTGAAGACTGACCCACTTTTACAAACTTTTACCTTGGCCATAGGTTTTGAACAGTAATTAAGAGCTAGGACATTCACACTTCACACATGTAATCCTTGTGACAAGACTTTTCCTTAAAAACCAACAACATTGACCTGGAGTTTGATCTACTTTTCACAAAACTTTGATCTTGGCCATATCTATTGAACGGATGGGGCTAGGGCTTATATACTTCACATATATAATCCTTGTGACAAGACCTTTCATTGAATACCAACAACTTTGACCTTGAAGTTTTACCCTCTTTTTCAAAACTTTAAACAACGGTCCTTACTTTTTAAGGGATAGGGCTTTCATACTTCAAAATATATTATGTCTGCGACAAGACCTTTCTTTAGAAATCAACAACTTTGACCCCGAAGTTTGACCAACCTTTAAAAAACTTTGACCTCAGCCATAACTTTTGAACATGTGGTGCTAGGGCTTTCATATTTTACCATTACATTTCTTTTGAGAAGACCTTACTTTGGGTACCAACATATTTGATTTGTATTTGAGAAAATTCAACATTTGCTATGTTTCCATATAGGGGCATCAGTGTTTCACACACATATTGTCATGCACCCGGATCGATAGATGCAGGGCGATTATTGTTTTTGTCCTGTCTTTCTCTCTGTCTGTTGTCAACTTCATGTGTCATAGCCCCCCCCCCCCCCCCCCCCCCAACGAAGTAGGTTTTTAACGTTTGGGCGAGTTTAATGTTTTGTTTTGTTTTTTTTTTTTTGCTTTTCAAGAAATTTTTGGGATTGGATTTTTTTTTTGACTGGGGTGGACCCCCCCCCCCCCTGGAAAAAATTTCCGATTCGTGCCTGAACTTTAACCTTCGCCAAAACTTTTGGACTCTGAGAGATAGAGACTTCATATTTGGTATGCATACTCCATTAATAAAGTTCTTTCAAATGACACCAAGGTCAATGACCTTGTGACCTTGACAGTGACCTATATTCCAAAAATAGCTTTTTCGACTTTTCACCATAACTTTTGAACCATAGGAGATAGAGACTTCGTATTTGGTATGCATACTCCACTAATTAAGTTCTTTCAAATGACATCGAGGCCAATGACCTTGACTGTTACCTATATGCTTAGAATAGCTTTTTTGAACTTTGTTGCCACCGGGGCGCATAGTGTTTCACAAACACATCTTGTTTTTTTTTTTAACTTTAACTGATAACCTGTCTATAGCAATAAATGTTTTACATGTACATGTATTACTAAACGGTGTGAATGTAAAAAGAAATTCCTGATAAGAAGTAAGCTTGAAACAGTTATATTAGAAACCTAAAAGAAAATTAATCATTAAAGTTTACATCAGAATTAGCTAAAATATTGGAAAAGAAAAATTCAAACAGTGAATTTTATGGATACATGTATTACCTGACTCATTGTCCATCTAGATAAAGATTTTAGAAACCCGGAATACCCTTACAAAATAGCTGCAAAACTGTAGCTCTCCGAATAAATATACTCAGTATTCTCCGGTCGGTCAAATTATTTTTTCGGAGAGCTACAGATCTGCAGCTACCTTAAAAACCACTTAATTTATTTTTGTATACCCCATTGAAATTTCATTTGACTCCCATTCCCATTTGCAAATTAATTTTTTGTAGCTGTAAACGTTTGTAAGCTATCAGAACTTGTTGATCAATATTCAGACACCCCCCCCTCCCCTCCCCAAAAAAAGTTGAGAGAACTTCATATTCATAAATAGACTCATTCCGTACTTTTGACACCACTGGTTTGTAGGACCTGCAACCAGTCAATGAAATCTACAGACCCTCTTGGAAATTAGCCCCTCTCCCCTCAAATTTTCATACATGTACTTTTTTTTTTTTTTTTTTTCAAATTTACAAATACCATATCAATAATGATATTACAATTTCTTAAAATGTTGCCCATCTAGCATTTGTTAATCATAACTTCCTTCTCCAGGACACATCTTTATGAGAATGAAAAGTGAGTCACCTAGTGCAATTCACTAAATTCTAAAGAACGAGAGCGCTTTTGATTGGCATTCGGCAGGAATCTGGGCGTAATTGAAAAGTGAAAATTTTATCGACGTCACATGAAATTTTAACACTTTTTTTATTTATCGAGTTCCTGTGCAACAGAAAAGGAAAATATTTTCCCGAAATTGAGCTTTGATTTGCTAAAAAATGACTTGAAATTTGGCCAGATCAAACATTTGGTACAAAATTGTACATTTTTAAACACATTTTTCTAAAAAGTTTCTATCTCTGGGTCTTCTCTCCATGAATTAAAAAAATTATTTGTGTGTATTTTAATTCAAAGAAACAAATACACATTTTTTAAAAATGGAGAGAAGACCCAGAGACCTAGAAAAATGA